GGGGGGCGGGGCCTGGCGCGCGGGGCGGGGGTGCTGCGGGTGGGGGGTTCGCACCTCTAACTCGGGCTCGGGTTCAGCACCAGGGCCGGGGACAGCGGCGGAGGCGCCCGCGCGTGTGCGTGTGCCTCGGTGCGTGTGTCAAAGGCATCCCTGGCCCCCCTCCACATACACCCGGGCCGAGTCTCCAACCCATACAAGGGCCACAAGACGCAAACACGGCCACAAATAGTTCCAGGCTCGTAGGGCTGGGGGGAGGGCAAGAATTCCGGGCCTGACTCAGATCCAGATCCAAGTTCACACACACTGTGCTGCTCCGTGGACAACCCGGAGGCACAGTTGCCAGCCTCACACCCCTCTCCTCGGGCCATGCACCCGGGCCAGCTTTAATAAGCCCCTGACACGTGTTGACACCCGCCCACCAAAGAGAGTTACTGTTTCACAGGTAGAAACACTGACTCAGGTGATTTTTGGCTTAAGCCCCTATACTCTTAACCACCACATGACTGCAAGTGGAGACAGGGCTGCGAGTCAGAAAGCACACTGGAAAGGCCCTGGCGGGCGGCAGGGGCTCTGACACACACAAGCCCAGAACCCAGAAGTTCACACAAAAGATGCATGACCGTGAACCTAGCCATCAGGACACATCCAGACCCCGTGGGGTGTCACACCAACCAGTGACAGGTGAGGGAGCGGGCCTAGAGCACTGATCTCTGAGGGCAGGTGGTGTGGTGGGGCAGACACTGCTCATGCCAGCAGCCTGGGCCCACTGCCGTTCCTGGCTGGGCACCTTCGGGCTTGCTGCCAGGAGGGAGAGGATCCAGCTCCCTGCCACTTCCCACGCCTGGGCCTGGCCAAGCACTGGCAGACTCCTAGCTCCCCAAAACCTGACCAAGAAGAGGAGGCTGCATCTTTACCATCACTGCAGGTGGTCAGACTGACCAAGCAGGAGGCAGACACCTGGCCAGGTGACCCTGCCCCCTCAAACACCCAGGAAACTGGTGTCCCACCGAAGCCCAGCTCTAGCCTGGCTCCTCTTCAGGACCCACTCCCCAAGCCCTGCTGCTGACCCGGATTCTATTCCTGGTCGGTGGTGGGGGCGGATGAGACTTCTCTGTCACTGCCAGCTTGTGCCAGTCCCTGAGGTACAGCCTTCATTCCCTCTGCTTCCAGAGAAGGGACCACAGAAGCAGGCCGTTCCTGCAGCCACCAGCTGGGGAAATCAGTTCAGTCCACTATGGTTCCAGTCTGCAAAGGCCCAGACTTTTCAGATGGGAAGTCTAACCCCTTTCCAGCACAGCACATGCTGGGTCCAACCAGCCCCCAATTAGAATCTAAACTCAGTTTTTTCTTCTGCACTTTGATCTAATGTTGGCCAACTGCTCAGGTCTAACCAGTCATCTTTGTGAGTCACGTTATGTAACTCAGGCTAACTCATGACAGTCCTCCTGCCTCAGCCTCCCAAGAGCTGGGATGACAGGTATGTACTACCATGCCCGGCTAACCACAGTAATTTCACAGGGAGCCAGGCCTCAGACCCTCTGCCACCACCTGACCACAGCCTTTCCCACCAGTCCTTTCTGTTCACAGCCTTTCCTCTAAGATTCAATTTTCACCTCTTCCCACTGGGGTCCAACATAGTCCACCCTGTTGGGACCTAAACTTAGAATCTATCTCAAACTTCTCCCCTAGAACCTAGTCTCAGTGTTCCCTAATGGGGTCAACTTCACCCAGGCTCTGTTGGAATCAACTCACTTGCGGGGGTCTCACTTGAGACTTTTCCCTTACACTGTGCAGTTTCCACAACTTTAACTTCTGCATCCTGTTCAGGCCTCAGTGTGTTTTTTTTCCTGTAGGGTTTGCTGTGGGCTCTCACCTCTGTCCTGTCTCTGGGGCTGACATTTAATCCTGGATTCCCTTAAACCCACCTCCTCCCTCAATTCTTTTGGGTGAATCTACGATCCAACAGGAATCCACAATCCTGGCACTCAGCAGGTGCTCAACAAATGCTGGCAAACAAAAGAAAGGAAACGGCTGGTAATGCTTTGTTCTAAGAACACGGACACAAGTAATTGAAGAAGGTTGGGTGGGATCACCCCATCTGGAAACAGGGGCCTGGAGAGAGGAGAGGGTTGGCAGGTTGCATGGGAGGGCCCTGAGGGGAGCACTTCTTTCTTGGGGACACTGATCAACAGTTGCAGGTGAGCCCCCATGGACTACCCCAGGCCTGCAAAGCCTGGGTGGGCAAGTGCTCAGGAGGCTGTGGTCTCAGCAGGCCCCAGACCCATCTTGTCCCTGGGTCGCTGTGACTGCTGTCTCTTCTGCTCCACTTGATGCTGAAGCCGGGTGAGGACCAGCTCAGCGGCCTGGCTCAGGCTGTGCTGTGGGGAACAAAGAAGGAGGAACCAGGTGAGATACAGGGAGGGATACAGGCTAGACCAAAGCAGTCAGGGGCTTCTGGAGCTGGGCACTCCAAGCCAGAAGCTCAGCTGAGGCTGGAGAGCAGAAGGCAAAGCACTGTGGGATGGGAAAAGAAAAATGGCTGTACCCTTGGCTGAAGGCCTGGAGAGATGGCAGGGGAAGGGCAGAGATGGGCTGAACCACGAGATTACACTGTGAGAGTGAGGTTCCCACTGGGGAGGGGGAAGACGGACCCCAGGGTGGGTGGGGATGAAAGTGGGACCCTAGCAGCAAAGCACAAGTCAACAGGGCAGAGAAAGTACAGATCAAAGCTGAGGGCCAGAGGCAGGCCCTAGCTAGAGCATCTGAAGTTAGACGTCACTGGACAGGGTGGAGAGGAGATGACAGTGAAATGGCTCAAAACTGTAATGAGGGGTGGGCTAGTTTGATCACGGTGGGCAGAGTCCTTCCTCCCAGTCAGACCTCCGGCTCTCCCACATATAGTGGTTTAACCTGTCTGCTTTCTATTAGGGTCTAACCTCAGCCCTGTCTACTGGCTCTAACCTCAAGCACTTCCACTGAGGTCTAACCTCAAGCCTTTCTCTTTTCCTGAGGCCCAATGAAGACCCCGTTCCTCATGAGGGTGTGGAGAAAGGCAAAAACTAGGGGAGAGCCCCAGAGGTGAATGAAGCCACAGCAAAATCCCAGGTTAGACCACAGCAGAAAGGATCCTGGGGCCAGGTCAGAGGGGAGGAGGAAGCGAGCACACAAGTATGGGGGGGGGGCATGGGCTATGGTGGAAAGGGTCTGAGGTCAGACTGCAGCAGGTGGAGGGTCCCAGGCTGGACTTGGAGCATCTGAATGCAAACACAGCCCTCTGCCTACTGGGGTGGGAGATGGGGAGGAAGCTCAGAAGTCAAAGTAGAGCGAAAGGTTTGGCTTTAATAGAAATTGCAGAGATCAATTCAAAGGAGATGGGCTCTAGGTTAGACTCAGCAAAAAGTTGCAAACCGGCTCAGGAGGAAAGGCTGGTGGTCAGACTTCGAGGGAAAGGTAAGAAGTACGACCTAAGCCCAGCACAGCAATGTGTCTGGACCTCTGCTACATGGGAGGCTGAGGCAGGAAGATCACAAATCTGAGGCCAGAATGACACATGGAATTAGAGGAGGCTGAGTGGGCACCAGGGCTGAGGGTAAGAGAAGTGGAATCTACATCTCCTTCCCCAGGCTGGTGGCCCACCCACCCTGGCTGCCGGGAGTGGCCTCTGCCTGGACCCCGCTGCCCACCTCCAGGCCTGGTTCTCTTGCTTCTTCCCCAAATCCCACTGGAGCAGGTGGTACAGGACTCCTTGGGATCCCTAATTACCTGCAGGATGTGCACCCCCTTCAGGGAGACCACAGCCAGCTCCTGCAGCCCATCCCCCGTCAGGTCCACGTGCGCCATGGCCAGGAGGGGACTTGAGAAGCTCCGCTGCCACAGCAGGCGGAAGCCACGCTCGACCTCTGGGTGCCTCGACTCTGGGCTGAAGTACTTATAGCAGAGCAGCTCCTGCAGAGGGCAGGGGTCACCGTCAACCCAGGCTGATGGGGGTGGCACAGGGACATGGGTGTGTATGCTGGCTGCAGCCCTTACAGCGCACCTGGCCGTAGGTGGCCACCAGGACTTCTGGCTGTCCATCCAAGTCCACATCGGTGACCAGGCCGCAGAGGATGCTGTCAAATTGGTCACTTCCGGGCAGGAGAAGCTGGTCTTCAAGGCCTTGGTTCAGCAGGTCCCTGATGGTTCCCGGAACCATGGGGAGACTGAGGTCAGACTGCAGGGCAATGCGAGACAAGTACCTGTCCCACTGCCCTCCTCAGGTTTAAATGCATTGCCCCTCCTGCAGCTGGGGCTGCCTTCTCTCCAGTGTGGATATCCTCATGGCCCCACACTTTGCCCCTGGGGGTGTGCAGGACCCTGGCCCCTCGTCTGGATGTGTGCACCATCCCCTGGAGGCTGGGCCACCTCTCTCTCAAATGGAAAGTCTATTGTTCTTTTTGGGGATCCTCTGTCCCCAGCTTGAAGACACACCCCCAGGGGATCTTGGAAGGACAAGGTTAACCTCAGTAGACAGACATCAGCTTAGACTCAGCCCCTCACCGGTACACCACGGCTGGCTCCACCATGCTGGCCACAAGCACACTGTATTCCTCCTGCTCAGGTCTGTCCTTGGCTTCTGCAGATGAAATGTGACTGGGGAGGGTATGGGCTTGAGGGGACAGGTTCCAGGCTCCTCCTCATCCCCACTTCCCTGCTAGTGGGAGGAACACAGGTGATATATCAGGGTAAAGGACTAAGGTTGTGCCACCCAAGAGAGGATTAGAGGTTAGACCACAGGAGAAATGACCATGGCCCGATGTGACAAGGAGAAGCAGCAGGTGGACAACAGTTAGGAAGTGTGAGGTCAGACCGCAGTGGGAGAGCCACAGGGGAGACCAGAACTGAAAAGCCTCAGGGTAGACCATAGTGCAAGGTCTGGGGAATAAAACACAGAGAGAACTAAGAGTGAAGAGCAGCCTAATGGATGGACGGCAGAGTAGTTTGGGAACAGAGATAAGGTCAAAGTGACGTCAGTCAAAGAGACCGGGGGAATGGGTAGCACCAGCCCCTCCAGGACATGAGTGCTGGACAGTGGTCAGCCCATGGGAGTAACGGAGCCAGTGTGGGGACAGAGAAAGTCACCGTGTGAGGAGTGAAGGTCAGACCACCAAGGCAAAGGCAGAATCTCAACGCCTGGGCCCAGCACTCACGCTTGGGGGCTGCAAGGCTGAACAGGATCACGCGGGAGATGGGGCCGTCCTGCAGGACTGTCCATGTCTGCAAAACCTCTGCACAGAGAGCCTGGGCTCAGGACCCTGGCCCTGGGGTCCAGTCCCTGCTTGAGACCCCCAACTCCAGGCCTGGCCCTCACCTCGGCTCTGCTGGTCCACATGGGCGACGCGGACGTAACCATTCTGACAGCCAAGGGCTGAGAGACGGCGTGACGTGCCAGGGAGGTTGCGGACATCCAGCCAGAGGACACTGGCAGGTGGGTGGATGGACAGACAGATGGGCAGGACAGAGACCATTACTGAGTCTCAGCCCCACAGCGTGGCTTTTCAGGAGCATCCACGCCTTTCCTGTTGCCCAGGGACCGTGCAGTCTCACTTCTCCAATTGTAGCCCTGGCCCTCTGGCCTCTTGAGGGCCTCCCTTACCTGCTGCTCAGGTTTGTAAGCTCTGGAAAGAGGTTTTCCACGGGCTGTTCCTCAAACTGATGCAGCCCCTCATTCTGGGGGAACAAAACCCAGCTTGAGCCCCTAGCAGCAGCCAGCCAGCAGCCTCATGCCTGCACCCGAGTGCCAGGCCATGGTGACCCCCGGTAAGGCTGTGCTTCACCTCACCTCTTTGTAGAGGTGAATGGCCAGGTCATTCCCGCTCAGGAGAAACACAGTCTCCAGCTGATCCCCAGCCTGGACCCTGAAAGCAGACACAAGGGTGTAGAAGAACTGGGGTGTGGCTAAGTTCACAGATTTTATAAATTTCTCTTGCAAAAATTCTTGCCCATAAGAAGTCTAGCACTCCAGGATTCTGACCTCAGATCCAGCCCTAGAGCCTCAGAGCTTCTCAGCACCCCAACTCCTTGAAATGTAGCTGGTGGGAGCACTCACAGAAGTGCAGCAGAGCGGACTCACAGCACTGCCTCCAGGCACAGAAGCGGCACGCCTGGCCTCCTGCGAGGACATCGGCGTGGAAGGACCTCTTTAATCCAGGACCCCAAATTCCTCAAGTTCTGTCTGTCTCCTTTGAAAGACTGGAACTTTTGGTAACTGCCACCGTGAATAGGGGAGACTCAATGGATAATGGAGCATCCAATCCTCACCCCTGGGACATCAGTGCATCACAGTCTCGGTTTAGATTGGTGACCTAGGACTCCAGACCAGATCCAACAGGTCTGCCTTCCTGTCTTCTCTCCTCCCTCCCTCCCTTCTTTATTTCCTTTTGGCACTGAGGACTTAAGCCAAGGTCTGTGCCTTGAGCCACGCCCCTAGCCCGCTCTTTCATCTTTTTTTTTCATTCTTTCTTTTCTTTTCTTTTTGTCTTTTTGAGGCAAGGTCTCACTATGCAGCTCAGGCTGTCCTTGAGCTCCCCTTGTAGCACAGGCTGGTCTCAAACTCTCAACCATCATGCTGCTTCAGCTTCCCAAGTGCTAGGATTACAGGCTTGTGCCACCACACCCAGCCCTCCATCTCCTTGCAGTACAAGAATGGCAGGTCATTACATAGATTCACAGAAGACTGGCTTCTGTAGAACTGTAGGACTTTCAAATCTTGGAGTCTTAGATCTTGCAACTCTAAAAACTCAGCAGCTGGGCCTGGTAGTGGACACTTGTAATCCCAGTACTTGAGAGGCTGAGGCAGAGAATAGCTGCTAGTTTGAGGCCAACCTAGATTATGTAGCAAGACCCTAACTCAAAAACAAAAACAAAAAAAGAAGAAAACTCACCCCAGTTCCACCAAAAGAAAAAAAAAAAGAAAGAAAGAAAGAAAGAAAGAAAGAAAGAAAGAAAGAAAGAAAGAGAACTCAGCATCTCTGGATCTGGGAATGTCAGAAGCAGGAACCTTAGAACCTACAAATTCTAGATGTCTAGCACATGGGTGTTCAGTGAACTCTCTCAGATTATCTGCCTTGAAAATGACAAGATGGTGGTACCCTGGTTGTCTGGTCCACACTCACTTTCAAAGCACAAGGCTCTAAGAGGGGATGGCAGAGCTGGGTGCCTATGGGCAGTGTGGTCTCCTGCTTGCTATACACCCTCCTCCCCTGCCCATGCTCTCTACTCTACTGCACTGGGAGCTTCCCACAGTCTCGTTACCTCCCTGACCCCTAGAGCCATTCTAGCTTTCAATTCCTGGTCTAGTATGATCTCTTTATTTTCCAGATGGGGAAAGACGCTCCTGGTGTAAGGAGGGGTCTGGGAACCAGGGAGCCAGGGACACTCACTCTGCGTGGTACAGCTGGAAGGGCGTGAACTGGAGCTCCAGGTTCAGACAGCTCTCTGCAGAGGGACACGGGCAGATGGGCAGCTGGCACCTGCCAGGACCTGCTCCCACCCTCCAGCCCCCGGTCACACTCACGGGCAATGGAGTCCAAGTTATACTCAGAGCCGGGCTCGTAGTCACAGTAAATGTTAAGGAAGGGGCTGCCCTTGTCCCCTGAATCCTGCAGGAGGAAAGTGGCCTCAGGGGCGGCAGGAGAGGCCTGGGGCAGGCTACTGGAACCCTCATGTGCAGGGAGGAAGACCCGGGCAAGTAGAGGGTGCCCTCAGTACCTTGATGAATGTGATCCCCACTACCAGGCCTCGCTTTGGGGGTGACTTGTTGAAGGTGTCTATGGAGACAATTTCTGCATCCACTGAAAGGGGACAATTCAAAATTCACGTTCTGGGGCCGGGGAGATGGCTCAGTGGAATAAGCACTTCCCTGGCAAGTGCAAGAGCCTGAGTTCAATCCCCGGTTCCACCAAAAAAAAAAAAAAATCATGTTCTGGGGCCTTTGGTACCCCACATGGTGACTTCTGGTCACTGATCACCCTCAACGTGACCTGTGACCAATTGCTACTGGGATCTCCCTCCCCTTGTCTGTGGCACTGGGGATTGAACTGAGGGCCTTGGTACTTAGCTACATTCCCAAACTTTTTTTTGCACCAGGAATTGAACTAAGGACCTGGAGTTTGCCAGGCAGGTGCCCCCTTTACGCCTCATTTTGAGACAGGGTCTTATTATTTTTAATGTATTTGGTACAAGGTCTCACTACACACCTAGACAGACTTGCAGTGATCCTCCTGTTTTCAGCCTCCCCAATTCTAGGATTACAGCCGTGCAACAGTATGCCCGCCTGGACTCGGTGGCCGGCTCAGCGTGCCCAGGGGTGGGGCTGGCACAGCATGTGGTGCCAGGGATCGAACCCCGAGAAACAGGGTCTTATTAAGCGACTAGGTGGCCTAGGAGGGCCTCAAACTTGTGATCCTCCTGATTTAGCGCCCCAAGCAGCAGGGATTACAGGTGAGCACCACCACTCCTGACATTGACCTCTATGCTTCAGGAAGCCTGAACCCTAAACACTTTCAGGCCCCTATTATTCCTGTCCGGAACCCAATGACTATTAGCTTTGACTCTGTTCAATCAATCTCAATCTCTCATCATGGTGATTAAATTCCAACACGGCCTCATAGACCTCCTCAACACTTCGTTCCATGATACACCCACACGCCCCCCCCTCCGCGCTCCACGGCGCCACGCACCGGGGATGTAGTTGAACTGCAGCTCCTTGGCCACCAGCCGGATTTTCTGCCGGAGGTCTTGGTAGCGGAAGCCGAGCACTTTGCCTTTAAGAGTGGCAGCCAGCAGCTCCCCGCGCCCGTCGGCGCCGCCTGCTAGCCCGTACACATTGCTCTGCGACGAGAAGCGTGTGAAGCTGTCCTCGCGCAGAGGACAAGGCCCCGCGGCCACGGCTCCCTCTCCCATCACGCCCCTCTGCAGGTCGCGCCGTAGCGCCAACTTCAGAAGTGATCCAAACCATCGAGTGCCCACCCGAAGCGCGGACTGATGACGTAAGGAAGCCACAGTCATTGCCCTCTAACAACATGGCGCCCAGCCCGACTACTTGATTTTGCTCCAATGCGCCTGCGTGATCCTCCCCGGTCCAGAGCCAAAGAAAGGGGCCGCCGGAGTGCGAAGAGCAGTGGGAGGTCATGGCCCCCACGTTGGCTGTGTGGAAGGTAGGTTAAGATGAGTCGCAAAAATATTGCCCTTATGTTCCCAGAAATTACTCTAAGCGTGTTCCATCTAATAGTTTATTCAAACTCACACACAGGCCAAGAGGTGGGTGTCTTATAGAAGTAAAGTGACTTACCCAAGGCCACCAGCTTCAAGAAGCAATCAATATTGGAATCCCCAAACGATAACTCTATAGTTCATTATTTTAATAGGGGGAAATTTTTTACTTGAGGAGAAAAGAGCCTCCCACCTCCCTCAGTGGCAAATGACCACCTCCTTTACTGAGCTCCTTGTGTGGTGACAGTCACACTGCCAATTCTTTT